CCCTTCTCCTCTTCTTTGCCTTATCCATCCTCGGCACCTTCGCCCTTGACGCCTTCTTTGCGGACTTGCCTGATCCTACCTCAGATACACTCAACACAAGTCGCAAAGCCACTATCGCTGATTCCACTTAAGCTTCACGTTTCCCTCACCAGTACTGACAAAGTTTGCATCACTAATGGCTTGGCATCAGCCAATCACAACGACCAAAACTGCATCAGGCACCCGCTCATTGGCCCGAGTTTAAGGAAGACGGATGTGGCAACAGTTTAGACTCTAACCCAGTCTGCTCGTAGGTGCCAACATTGCATCAGCCACTCAACACTCTACATCAATCGGCTCGTACACAGAAAATGTAATCACATTTTTATCTATGTTACTCATATTCTCAGCATAATTTAGAAGTAAAATTTGTATTAGCTGTGCATGAAGATACACTCAAATACAACCACTCATAGACATGACCATTTTAAAATATTGAAAAAAATTGGAAAAATTTGAAAGCCCACTCACATTAATGCATAAGAGTTGTTTAAGGGTACAGTTTTTAATAAGTGTATGAAAGTACACCACTATACCTGGGCAAGTACTTGCACCGATGAAAAATAAGACATAGTGGCATACTGATGTGCTAATTAATGATATGTAAATGAACCAGAAACTAATGACAATGCAGATAACCTACGTAGGCATCTCGAGGGAATCATCTACCATTCACCAAGATCTTAAGTGGGAGTCGAAGTGCAAGCTAGAGAGATTGTTAGTGAACGTGTGCACGAGTGAGTGAGTGAATGGTGCTTGGAGTAGCACGGAGTTGTTGAAAGCGATGTTACAACAGCAATGGCATCAACAATGTGCAACTAATTTGAGGTGAGGATAGAGCAGCTAAATAAATAAGTAATAATGAGAGAGCAAATTTAAATTTGTATATGCTTCTTCCAAAAGTTAAATCATTTTACAAGCGTTTGCAAAATATATTTAGAACTGCATATAAGTGGGTACACTTTATTTTATCATTATGTTTTCGTTTCTAATAATCAAAATTGCGTACAAAATTTGTTGCCGATGTTGTTTACCTATTTGACTTATAAATATTCCGCGTAAATGTCTTAAGAAACGCTAAAAACATGCATGTAATGGTGATCAAATTACTCCATATCCTCTGCCGATAAAGTAAAAATTTCTAGAATTTTGAATAAAATCATTTTTTTATCATTAGTAAGGTGCTGGAACAGTAAAAAAGTAGACGTGTGCTCACTGCTACAATGAGCTTTCCATTGAAGCAAACAAGCGGGGAGCGTATTCAGTTCTGGTGCAATTCATGAATGCGACGCTCCCCTTGTCATTGGGAAAGCAGGGCTGAATCAAATTGCAGTCCAAATTGTCGTGGAGACAATAAACTTTCCCGTTTTAACTGAGAAATCGATAAAAACTAAAAAATTTTGACAGAAAACTATCACAATCTTTTCAGTAGGCAGGGAGCAAAAGAGAAAGAAACTAGTAGACAGAAAACTCACGTCATTATTTAAAAGCAGTGCCACAATCCACGGTTAAAGTAGGGGGGCACCTCTGACTGAGGTGGGTCACGTTTATGTATAAAAACTTCACATTAAGTGAACAAAGATTTCTTCACTCAGTATAACGACTACATGGAATT